GGTTATGAATATTACTCTTCGTGCACAAAATGATTTTTGAGCTATTGGTTTTCATTACTAAAGATCAAAGCGTTATACCTTTACATATGATCTCGAAAGCATAATTTTTGATCTTACTTCAAAGTTTCTTTCATATTTAACTCTTAAACTCTTGATCTTGTTCTTCTTCTTGAGCCCAATTTGATAGTATTGATTTTGATCATTTAAGCTCTCATCTCGAATGATTTGACTTGAATGCTTAACTTTCACTTTGATCTTCATTTCAAGTCCGATTTATAATGTATTGATTTGCCAATGCTTGATTGATTTTAACGTTGAACTATCATCACTCAAAATCAATTGTTAGAAATAATATTGGCTTTTTTGTTATAATCAAAACATTAAGGTTATAATCAACCATAGATCAACATATTTGCCTGCATAACCAACCAAGTATAAATCATTAATAATGTATGCACTGTCATAATATACAAAATAATTGTAACACCTTTGCGGTACTAGACATCGATTCCAAAGGGCTTTTTTTCAAAGATTCTTAGGCATGCCTTTTCTCTTTGAGCATGTTGGATCCTGTATGCTTCCACTACTAGTATGCTGCGATGCTCCACTCTCCAAAGCTAGCTGGGGCATAACATTACTTTCGCTACTCGACCTTATCTTCTTAATTGTTCGTTTCTTGCATTCTATCCACTCCATTATGTCTCGGGTCTGTTCGTCGTCATCTACAGTCATGTCCGCAAGTGAAGCAAATGTTTGACACATTTTGTCATATCTCAACTGTCCCGGAGTGCTACTTAACACATCATAGTTTACTGCGACCCTCGTGTGAACTCTACTCACATCTCTCCTCCATCTACGTAATATGTAGGTGTCTGGCAGTAACTTCACGTATTACGAATCAGCATAGCGATCGCATGCCTACAAACTATTCCTCGGAACTCAAACGTGACGGAAAACTTTTCTTGTCAACACGCTCATCACGTATGACATCCTCCAATAACTCATACGTCGTCCCCGAGAAACCCTCTGTCGCTGATATGAGTCCCAATAAACCTTCCCAACGAACTCATCTTGAACATCTTCGAAATTTTGAGATGGTGTAAACTCGTTGGAAATTCTTTTCCATCTCGAACTTCGTTACACAAGGTACCATCTGCGAGAAAGATTTGAAATCTGTCTGAAACTCCTTTTCAACCTTGCTCCTCAATGCCCGCTCATATTGTTCAACAAACTACTTCGCGACGTCTTCGAATGCACATACCCATCGAAAAATGCATTCATACTCTCACTGCATTGAGTTGTAGACATTCCCGCTCAGAAATATTTTTTTAAATAAT